GACAGTGGGGGGTCACGTGACGAGTTTTCTAGAAGATTCGCCAGTGTGTTGCTGGTAGTACGTGTTGGGAGTCTTAGAAGTTTCTAGAACAGGCAGTATTATCGTATGTAAGTGTGCTAGACAATGAGAGAGACAGAGTTGAAGCAGGAGTGGAGACAGACGGAGGCAGAGACGAAGCAGGCAGAGAGAAAGAAAGACAGCGATTATGGTCGGCGGGAACTTAGGATAGCAGACACAGAGATCGGAACTATAGTTTGCGGGGACGGACAATTAAGTCTAAGTGCAATAGAAAGTGAGTGAATTGTTGTGAACTATAGTGTGTGTAACTGTGAAAATTAAGTACATTACAAAGTTGTATTGTGGAAGAATAAACAAGTTTTATAAAGAAAAGACTTGTATTTTAGAAGAATTAACAAACAAACATACAGAAACGTAACACAGTATTTACAACTTTCCAAGCATTTACGAAGAAATATTTCTTTCCCTCTAACTTTGCTAACACAATCGATTATCAGAGGTGCTTGTGCAATACATGGCTAAAGGCGCGCAAAAAAATGTAATGGAGTATGAAAAAAAAAAAATGGCGAGACCCAGCGTCGTAACAACAAAAGATGCCCTCCCCCATATTTATTCCTATTATTCACGCACTTGCGGGGGCATACTTATGACTCTGACTAGATCAAACAAGTCTAGAAATTAGTTGTTTTTTTGTGAGACTTTTCCGGCCAGTACAGACTACCATACTCCTGTTCCGGTTCACTGATTTCCCCAAGTTAATCAGGTATGAGCTGCAGAATAACAGAATAGCACAACAAAGCCTGAATTTTCTTACCCTGACTGAACACAACGTACGAGACAGTGACCTAGATATAAAAACAAGTGTATTATTTTGGTACCTTTACTGTCAAATAAATATCTTTCTATCATCACACCTTGAATCTAATATTCTATCTCAGTGTAATTTAAGCCATTCTTTTTCAGTCTGTAGCAAGTACTATTTCCAGAAGAACCCTTCCCTCTGGATATTACATGAACTGCAAAACCTTTCTAAACACATTTAGCAGTTGTTTAATATCAGGCAGCAGCGAGCTCCAGATCGCATAGCTATACTAGTGAACCTATGCTACAATGCAAATTTAATTTATTTAACCAAGTTACGAATAGTAACTAGCAGGCCCGTTCATTTATGTGCTCTAACATAAATCAATGCCAATTTGGGGTCTTCTTTCGGGTAATCCCCTTAAAAGTGGGTGGGGTGAAAATTTTTACCTTTGAACAAACCTCGGGACTGCGACGATTCGTTTCGTACAACTTGGAAGTCGGTGCGACCAGCGGTTTAGGAGGAGTTACATGAAATACACACACAATTTTCTTATATAGATAAATTCCACTCCAATGTCGTATGCGACACTTATACAATAACAGTATTCGGGGTTACGGACAACCCTCACACTTTTTAGAACTCTAAAAATTGGCTTTTGGATATCGAAAGGTTCAGAACTGTTATTTTATTAGCAAAGCTACACAATGGGCTATCTCAGCTCTGTCCACCGTGGGAAATCGAACCTCGAATTTTAGCGTTGTAAGGATTAGGAAAATTTTTAATATAGTATTTAGGTTTAGAAATACAAAATAATAATAATCTAACAGTGCAACCTTAGTTCAAAATCAGGTACATCAAACAGACGATTTACCACTGTTACATACTTTTAAATGTAGAATAGCCTATGAACAACTAAATGCGAAAAAATACACTGATGATTTCATGCCAGAATTTTAATATTAATATGCTTTTTACACTAGAGAGTTATGCAAGAATTAGCTTAAACAGCAAAAAGCTTTCGACAGCCAATTATTTTGATATTATTTCTTTATCTTGTTTTCGAACCACTTTTCAAAATTTAATCATAGTACTCATAATACTGAAAAATTATTACTAAGTAGAAAGAAGTCCTGTAACTGAACAAAAAATCTGGAAATTATCATAAGTCGCCGAAATTAGTAGATATGTTTTGAAGTTAAAAACTTCATAAAGATATTAAAATTTAAATAATATAAAAGTCGGCTACACATATATATACTACCTCACAGATTTTCGTGTGTATTTGCATATATTAGGCCTATTTATATTCTTTAAATATGAGGTTATTCGTACGTTAATCATCAGTATACAGATAGAGTTCTTTTCCTATTTGTTCAGAATTTGTCTGGAAAATGCTAGGTGAAAAATAAAATTATTCATTCATCTCAACTACAAGTTACTTTTTACACAACATACGATAAAGTTTGATTTCAAACTGACAAAGCCTGTCTCATATTTTAAATCTTATTTAGTATAACTGTAACTTTGTAATTTCTCTACCCCCTGAATTTTAAGTAATATTTTACAATATATCTTAAGAATTTAGTATTTCAAACAAAGCAGAACCTGATGCAACACATTGGCTAAATGGTCAAGTCAGAGATCCCAAAGTTCAGGTATAAATGCTGCAAAAAAGAGAGAGCAATCCAGTCAACAACTCCCACCACCTATTGCAGCCCGGCATGGCCAGGTGGTTAGGGTGCTTGCCTCACAATCTGAGGGTCGTTGGTTTGAATCCCCGTCACACGAAGCAAGCTCACTCTTTCAGCCATGGGGACGTTATAAGTGATGGTCAATCCCACTATTCTTTGGTAAAAGAGTAACCCAAAAGTTGGCAGTGGGTGGTAATGATTAGCTACCTTCCTTCCAGTCTTTCACTGCTAAATTATGGACGGATAGCACAGATAGCCCTTGTGTAGCTTTGCGCAAAATTCCAAACCCATTCTTATTGAATAGTGTGATTGACTTCAACATTTATAATGTAGTGATTACAGTAACAAATTACCTTGGACCTACTAGTTTGCAACACAACAGTACACTATAACCACATCAAGCCATTAAAAAAGAAACAAAAAAATATCATTTACATAGATCTATTATCATATAAAATTAAATTTAGAATTATTATAGACTTACCTACTTGTATGAAATGAGAAGTGTAATCTTTCTGATATTTGAACATATTTATGATAAAAATATAGATGAACCAATTCCAATTCACATACACTGTCAAATTAGTAAACATCCTTTATCTACTGATACCTTCAAAATTGTAACACCAGGATTAAACTTTGAGCTTCAAGGCAAAAAAAAAGAAAGTCTATGTGTTAATATAATCATACTCTTAACCTTTGTAAAATATACTTATTTCTTCTCCTCTGTATATCTTGTATATATTATTTCTCCATATCAGAACGTGTACTATTTGTTTTATTTATATATGTATGCATGTACTAATATGTATGTTGTATGAATATAGCAAATAACAGATGACTAGTAACCAAATGATAGTTGCATAGTTTTCTCAAAAACAAATTCAAAGCATACCTTTATAAAACTCAACATGCACAAGGATACCTTCAAACACTTATCACTGCCTGACATTGTATCTGCATTATCCTAAGTTTGAGTTATGAGTGTCATCAAATGGATTCAGGTTTGGAGATTGAGTGGGTCACTTCATACTCTTCCAAGTAAGATCATAACAATTACTCAGATAAGTGGCCCTAACCAGTTTAGAATTACCTGAGCACCATTCAAAACCTAGTTTTATATATACCACCACGTGTCATCTTTAAAATTCCATTATTGTCAAACTTTGCTGTTTTTAGCCATATCACATGTGGCAAATAGTGTATAGAAAAGTTTAGAACTAAATATACTTTACAGGACACATACAGAAATAGAAAAACAGAGCATACACAAGGATTTACTTCCTGTCTGTAGTACTCCTTGTGTATTTTGAAAACATGTATGTTGAATTAATAAATACATATATACATGTGATATCCCTTTTAATTAATCTTTGTGTAACCAATTTTAAATTTACTTCTTTAAATGATTTGCTATTTTTTTATTTTGTGGATCAAAACAAACAAAATAAAAATATCCTACAGTATAACAATAGATGTAGTATGCTGCAAATATATATATATTATTATATTCTTTACTAATACAAACACCAAAATATTTTGCACAAGATAAAATGTAATTAACTGATAGTAATTACTATTAAGTAAGCTATCCAAAAAACATATTATAATCAACTAATAAAGTAACCAAAATTTAAATCAATTCTCCAACCCAACACATGCTAGCATACATGTAACACTAAATAATCTTAACTTGAAGCAACATTTTTGGGGGAAAAAAAAAAAATTATTTATGGCTAACTTAGCCTGTATACATTTCTATTACATACAGTGCAAGTTTAATTTTATGAAACTTTTTCTAAGTGTGATAGAAACAAACATTCACATATACTTTCAACCTATATACAGAAATATTTCTACATTTTCAAAAAACTCCATTTTTACATCCAAATGATACTTTTTTTATTTCCTCTTGAGCTCAAAATAATGTATCATAAAATGAGCTATCTCTTGACTTGAATCAGCAATAGAAGTCCTTCCAAGTAGTTTAAGAGCTTCTTATGATGGAATATTCTGGAATCACTCTACCAGTCCGTCTGTGTCTCTAAGTATTTCAAGGCTGTCAAAAATGATGTCAAGCAGTACCCTTCTTCTCCCATCAAGTATCTAAGAAAATAGGAACATTCAGTTTTTAGAAGTTACCAGTCAAAAACAAAAAGGCTTCAAACAGATATGGAATGCTGTAAAGAATAGTTTAGTTTTAGGCTTAGGCACTAACAATATGGGTTTACTTACTGAAAAATCAGAAGTACAAGAAAACATAAATGAGTGGTTTTAGGATAGGTTATACTCAACATTATATGGGTATAAAAGCACAATATAAAGGAAAAGCATGTAGATGCCTCTTGTAAAAAGATGAAGCATGATAATGTGACAGAAGGAAAATTTTTCATTTTTGAATCATACAACGTCTATCCTCTAAACAAAAATTGTTTAAAACTACAACACTATTGAAATAAGACAATTACTTAAAAAATGTATAGGAAAATTATTATATAATTCTGCCAATTACCTTCTCATTCCAGTAAAAAGATAAAAATAAGCAAACAGAGAACTCATTAACCTTGTATCATTTACAATGGTATTTTATATTCTTTCCTAGTCTTATATAACTGATGATTTAAATTCCAACTTAACATTCATTTCAGAAAGAGATCACAGAACTGTTGAACATAACAGTATGAATGTAAAGTACTTTTTCTTAAATATATGATAACAAAGGTCTAAAAAGATATCTGCTAAACTTACTTAAAAAATATTCATCCATAATTCATTTCATCAACATATTTTTTACTTTTACAAATTGTAGATAACAAATGTTATGCAGTCAACATTTAATAATAGATCTACCTGGTTTATTTCCTCTAGCTTTTGAAAAATAGCTTACTTTAACATTTAACAAATATTCAACACAATTAGTATGCTATACCTGTCTTTAAAACATAGGATAGACATGCCTAAACAAAATTTTATTATTATATATATTGCTTTAACTCCTGACCTTTGATCCATGAGTTGGTCTAATAACTGACATTCTGAAAACAACTGGGGAAGGTCAGCTTTTATCAAGATGTAGCTAACCACAGGAATTAACTCATCAGCACCTCTAATAAAAAAAAAAAAGAACAAACACCCTCATTAACCTAGAAAAATGTGATCAATTATTGATATGAACCAACTGTACACTTGATGAGGGTTCTTATTAGCACTTTTTTGTAAAACAGTTCTTAAAACAATTATAATTCCTTGTACCCAAATAAAAATCAAAAGATTTAAACTGGTTGATCAACTGGCATAATAATTTCAAGTTTAAGTACATTAGAACCTTGATTAACAGGCACCACACCATTAAGGGCAGACCAATTCAGTCTCTTTCTCTTTTCTACTATTTGTAACCAATATAAGTCTTGCAATAACAGGCACCTTGATATTCCAGGTTAAGGGCAGTGTCTTTAGTCTTGTTCTCTCTATGGGAATTCCATAAAATGGACAGTTATCTTTGTATGCCTGTACGGTATACCGCTAAATTCTAAACATCTCAGAAGGATGACCAATATTCAAATACTTTTAATGTTTATTGGATCAGCTCCAAACTATATACTGTAATAATAGTTTTCACAGATTCAAAGTACAATCGTATTACTCTGGGGAATTCTTGTTGTAAACACTTTACGATATATAAGCTGATAAATTCCACATTGTGTTCTAGGAGCAGGAGTCAAGTCGTCTTATTTTTGTGCTTGTGCTTTGTTGCTCTCAAGAGTATTGTATTACGGTGTCATGTAAACAGTCTAATGACACAAGCAGTGATTTGTTGTTTTATTTTCCGCAGATTTCTACTTCAATCATTGACAGTAAAATAAAAACAGAAAATTAATGTGAGATGTTTAGCAGTTCAAACTCCAAAGAGAAGTACTTTGAAATTTTGTGACTTTTTGAACTTTAACATTTAACAAATATTCAACACAATTAGTATGCTATACCAGTCTTTAAAACATAGGATAGATATACCTAAACAAAATTTTATTATTATATATATTGCTTTAACTCCTGACCTTTGATCCATGAGTTGGTCTAATAACTGACATTCTGAACACAACTGCAAAAAAATCGTTTCCATAACTAGTTTAACTTTAAATTAGATGTTTGTTGCATACATATATATATAAAACTTAATTTCTTATTCTGAACATTGATTAACTCTTTCTCAGAAGGGTCGTGTATACGAGTGCAACAATATATACTGTAACACTGAGATTTCTTAACGTATCTTCAAAACAAACTGGTAAAATTTTGTTAAAGATTATAAATATCTTGTACACAAAGAATGACATTACTTTAATTGAGTATTTCTACAAAAATATGTTATTTATCTATTGTAGTTATTTGCACTCAAACTCTTAATAGTTCATATGCAAGGTGATTTTTACATATAAAAATACTTTTCTTCATCTTACAGTTTGAGTTTTATTTGCATAATCTCTGGAACTTCCTAAATGAATATCAAAAGTTTATTTAAGGTAAATATTTATATTTTATTTTTCATTTTCTCTACCATATCACAAACTGTACATATTATTATCAACATGCAATGCAATGAAATGTTTAAAATTAAGAAAAATGAAAATATCTACAAACCTTTTAATTTTTTGTAGAATATCCTAAAATACCTTCATTTGTATATTCATAATTTCAGGTCTTTTTCTTTTCACATACAGTTCATTTTTTTATGTTTACTTTTCCTTTCCTATCCTTTACCTTTTATTACTCATCTCAACACAAGTCAGTGGTAGCCTTGGAGCATAATTACAGTATCTTCATTAAAGATGTACAAGCCTTCGGCAAAATTATCTTACCTTCATACAAGATCTTAAGTCATGAGAATTGACGCAAAGTATGATGTATATTTACAAAATTTTTAAACCTTTCAATTATGCATTTTAAAATATAAATAATATATAATAAATTAGGATATAAATAACTGTCTCTCTAGCTATAACATATTTAGCTAAGAAAAACCTGTAAGTGCTATTGTGAATAAAGCAGCCAAGGATACTACAGGCAGTTACATCTACCAGATGACAAATGCATGCCAATTTCAAAATAACCAGTGAGATTATAGTGTAAAATGGGCTATTTCTAATGACTATATACATGTATGTGTAGCAACCACATGTATGTTATAAAGCTCAAGCAAAAGTATAGAAGGTGCGTGTGGCACCCATCACAGGTTGACAAAATTTATCACTTGTTTCAACTGCACTTAGCCACAGAGAACTTTGAAACTTACATGTCAGTAAGCCAAGTACACATATTTATTGTCTGGATATGCATTTATATGACTGGTGTTATCTCAAACAAGATTGAGAGTGTGACTGTTGAGATTTTTCATAGCTCGAGGGTCACATGACAACAAAACCTGAAGTTTTAAGTATTTTTTTCAAAGGTCTCTTTTGAAACAAAGGATTTAAAACATATATAAAACAAAACCTTGAATCATAACATATATTATAATGTTTACTTCATTCACATAAATTGACAGTAAAGGTGTTCAATTATGTTTTGAATCCAACTCAGTGACTTGTGCAGAAAAGTGTTTAAAGGGATTCCAGGGGTGGAAAGGTTAACACAAATTGGTGTTTATAATGAGAGATTTCTATAAATGTAAATAAAATAATGATCTATATCTCCAGAATGTGTCTTTATTAGCTCAGTATTTTGTTATTACAGTGTTGCCAGCAGCTAATGATAACCTACAAGTTCACTATTCCAGTTGAATTTATATTACAGGAATTGCTGAAACCAAAAAACAAAACAATGCTGTTAATATGCCTTGACAATCTATCTTCATGAATCCTTTTATACAAAAAAAAAGTGTTTACTTTTTTCGAAACTCTTGTAGACTGCACTCCAAAAATGAAACTAATATGTTAATGTACAGTATCCAGAATCATGAGGCACATGACCAATCTTGGCTATTACAGGAAATAAACTAGTTATGGGATAATTGATGTTTTTTCTATCCTAGCGATGACAAGGCACAAATAGTGTTATTAAATAATGTCAATGGCATCTCTTAATTAAATTTTAAGCAAATCAAGTATCTGATGAGGCCAATCATATGATCTTATGTGCAAACATCTACTATGGAGTCCATGTCTAGAAATGTTCATTTGGTACTATAGGTATGACAGCCCAATAAATGAGAACATTTGTGAATGAGGTGTGTGACAACATACACATTAATACAAATTATACGTTAATGTGGCATGCTTAAAATGAGTTTATCAGTAGCCCATTATAACAATTTGCCTTATTCCTCCACTGAAAATCTAGCATAAACCAGGGTTATGTACCACATGCCATGCTTAGACTGCCCAAACATGTGTTTTGGCCAAACAAGCCACTGACTGGAAATTATACTTTCAGAACATGAATGGGACTATAAACATAATAGTATATTTAACTCTGGTCTACTAAAGCATTCTTGCACTATCAATCATACAATAAACTGGGAAGAATACAAAATCCTTGATTGAGGTCACAACCAACCTATTCTAAACTTTCTTGAATCATGGTACATTTGCAACATCAAAATTCAATTGTGACAATAGACCTTGTCATAGCACTAGCCTATATTTTACTTTTTTCAAGTAATTTTGACTTGCTTCCCACAACTTCCTTTAATAAATTTGGTAGCACTTTTCCTTCTTCAATGTCAATGGCCTGCTAACTTATAATGTGATCTTTTAAATTTAAAAATGTTTTGTTGGTCTTACCATTCCTCCTGATGATGATGATTTAAAGACTTGGGACAGTGTTTAATGCTTACTTACTTTATAAAGTAGCGTAGTTAGTAAATAGCTTTATTCATCATGTATGACTGTACATTTGCCCACACTCTTATTTGTGGGTTATATAGATTGATAGCAGATAACAATTCTATCATATTGTACACAGATAGTTTAATGGATATAAAGGTACAAATAAGGTGTTTTATTTTTGTTTTTCTACATTATTTATGCTTCTTAAACAGAAGCTAGTATTAGTTAATATCAATCACTTGCAAATTATTGGACCCAAGTTAAACAAACTTAGCTGTACTTGAAGTATTTTTAAAGATCCTGAGCTATAAAAAAAGATATAATGACCAGCCCTAAAACACAGCCTAGGTAATGTCCTGTGTATATAATATGAGTTAAATCTTTATATATGATAAGAAATACACACTGTTTAACATAACTGCACCATGACTAGCTAGGAACTGGAATATTGGGCAGTAACTGCTCTTATCTTAGGTTGTAATACACAAATGGAACCTCATATAAAACTATCTATTCTATTGTTCTTTGTTATCTTTATTTTGTAACCAATTCGATTTTTTTTCATGCATACACTATCTTATAAAAAAATATAGTTGCATTTATGTGAACAGAATGAACCAGTGTATTTTCATACATTTAATATGTCCATTAAATTGTGCTTATTTTACATTACATATTGAGGCACAACAGCTTTAGTAAACCCCAACAATCAAAGCTTGAAATCTACTTAGTCAAACACAATTTAAACAACTTGACAGTACAGTTACTGTTCTCCAGGAATCGGTTCAATGCTCACCTTGGTTAGATATAATCCATGAAGGACAACACATTCTACATTGATTTTAATTATTTAAGTTTCACAGTAATTAGCAGATCTACATTACTTATGTCCCTTTTCTGCTGCATAAGTGTCTAGAAAATTGACTGTTCTATTTCTAGACATTTATGATCAACTACTGTCTACTTCTCAACCACTTCACAGGACTGCTTTACTCAGTTTTAGCCATTCAGCATCAACTGATATCTATTTCTTAACCACTTTTTAAATATCTGAGTGCACAAAGATTTGGAGAAAGCAAACAACTTTGTGAACCTTGATTCAAAATTAGTGTTTTGGTAATCTTCAAATGCATGTTCTCTTATGGCACAGTAACATTTTTTAAAACGTCTTTTCATAGTAAGTTACTATATTTTAACAATGTTAAATTTTTACTCAATGTGAAAAAGTAATTCACTAATTATGTAAGGCAACTGGATATTAAGATGATAAAATTAATATTTATAACACAAAATCCTTTAATGAAAGAAGTTTCAAAAGTAATCTGACTGAATAACTTTAACAAATTAAAACTAAATAACAAAATGTCAGTATTTAATTGAAAATTTTTCCTCACTAAAAATTGTAGAGAAAACTAACTTATCATCATATTTTAAGTATTGAAGTTCTACCATATACCAAATTCAGAATCTACTTATGTCAGTATCTTGAAGAATTTATTTGTAACAAATATCTTTTCCTTTTAAGTTCATATTTTCTTTATGAAAAAAGGTAAAACAAAAAAGGTGCATATTAACATAAGTATTAAGGAAAAGTGTTAAAACATACAACAGCAACAAAAACAAATGATGTATCACTAATTAGTAATCTTACATTCAAAATAAATTAAGTATTAGGTCATCAAGAAATTAATGTCGCGTTTGGAACATGTTCATTAACCACCCCCAAAAAATGTATATCACGTACAATAGTTAAATAAACCGCCTAAACGTCACATTAGTGTAGTCTATATAATGTATAAAATTTAGTATACTCTAATCCCTTATAGAGATGCCACACAACGAGACACACAATTGGCATGTAATGCTGTTTGAATACAAGAAGGGAAAAAAAGGCCTCTGTAGCCACAAAGAATATCAAAGAAGTTTATGGAAATGTTTTGAACATTTCTAACTGTCAAAGATGGTTCAGCAAATTTCGTTCAGGTGACTTTAGCCTTAAAAACTGTGATGGCAGGAGCTGACATGTGGTAATTGATATTGATGATCTGAAGACGCTTGTTGAGTCTAACCCAAGGCAACACACTCGTCAAATGGCCCTGAAATTGCATGTCTCTCGTGAAACAATACGTAAACATCTAAGCCATACGGGAAAACTCCATAAAGAAGGTGCTTGGGTGCTTCACGAACTCTCCAATGATCACTGTTTCCAACATGTCAACGTTGCTTTGTTTGCAATTAATGCACATGAACCATTTTTGGACAGAATTGTTACCGGTGATGAAAAATGGATTCTCTATGTGAATATTAAATGCCAAAAACAATGGCTCAGTCCTAGATCACTTCCGACCCCAAAACCTGGACATTTGAAGTTTTTCTTATACAATGAAAAAATATTGTTGATATTAGCAATCTTATGTAATTGTATAATGCCATACATTACATAAAAAAATAAAAAATACACCAAATTGATTTCCATATATAAAAGCTTCAAAAATACAGGATAGGATGATACTGCTAGAACTATTGATGATAATTTCTAACATAACTTCTGGATGGAGTGATACTGCTAGAACTATTGGGTGATAATTTCTAAGATAGCTTTCAGATGGAATGATATTATTTGAACTATTGAGTGATGACTCCTAATACAGCTTCCAGATGGGATGCTGCTACTAGAACAATTGGATTACAATTTCTAACACAGCTTATGGCTGACAATTTCTAATACAGCTTCCAGATGGGATGGTACAGCTTGAACTGTTGGATGATGATTTCTAACACAGCTTCTAGGAGTGATATTGCTAGAAACTGCAGTTCTTCATTAGTCATGGTTTTGTTATCCACTGTGAACTACTGTTTCATACTACAACTTAAACAGTTGTGAGGTTATGTAACTCAAAAGTTAGAACAAGCTGAGAAGATAAGCCTCAAAAACTGTTTGCCAAACATATATAAATTACAATAAAAGTAAAACCTACATGTGCAACAAGTAACAGTGAGCAGATTACTAGAAATTCACTAAACCAGAGACTGCCTTTATAATTTTATAAATATCTATATATAATCCTGTAATTTAATTAGATGACACTAAAATAGGGATGAAACAGAATTTTTCTAACATGATCATAGAACTTGTGAGTTTGTTTTACTATCAAACACATCTCTAAGATTTTCATCAAGGCACAGATAACACAATACTTCACACATCACAGAGAAGGTTTCTAAAACAAAACACGACATTTCTGCAATTACTCAACAAAGGCTTTATTATATTAAATATAATAAATTCTGTTTTGAACATTTAAAAGTTAATTTAGTTTCATTTTCAAACTGAAGTTCAGAATCTTGAAGTTACTCAGTAAACAAGGCAGCCTGTACAAGTTTGGAAGATACTTTAATTGACAGTGTTGACCAATATTTTGAACAATAGAGTGTATAGATCTTTATGAAATAAAACAAACGTGAACAGTGATTTCATAGTATAGTATAATTGCTTTAATTTCAACTTTTTTTAAAATAATTTCTTTTTAAAGCATCCAGGTGTTTTGATAGTCTTGGGATGTTGAAACATTATTTGTTAAACAAGTTAAATGTTTTGTTTTACAAGTCCCAGAACTTTAATTATTTCATTATTATTTAAATTTCAATTCTTTTAAATTCTTTCACAGTAACAGTTATACAGCAAATATGTGGAACAACTGATTTTTCAAAAGACTTTCATTCAAGTTCAGCACAACCCTTGTAATCCAGTATGATTAAAATAAATGTTTTGTTATTATGTTTGTTTAATAAGTAAGTAATCATACATGATTATATGCAAGTCATGCTTAATTTATATATTTGGAATAGTCAAATTCACAAATATAAATCTGGAATTATTAATAAATTAAACGCGTACATATACATAACATTATTACATGAAACGTTTAAAAGATACAACAAGATATCAGATAATATACACTAGACAATACAACATTTTGCAGTTATTTATAACTTCAAAATAATTAATGTAGAATACTGTAGTCTGTAAAATACATTACAATAAAAGCTTAAAGATACATAAAGAAGTATGCAAATTGTCATTGTTTCAAATTAAAATGTATAATTTATCAGCCACAATGATAACAGAACCAGTTTAAGTGAAGTATATTTGAAATGGGAAAAATAATTCATATGTTCAAAAATCAATAATAATTATGCAGGAATAGAAATAAAAAAATTATCTGAAAGTAATGTCTCAATGCAAGGCAAGAAATGTGCAGCATTTACAACATTTTAACAATATGACAAGTTAAAATATACAGTCTTTTGCAATTTCTATTTAGATAGAAGTTTATGCTGGTAACAACAGTAAAAAATTCTCAAAGTTATTAGCATATTTTGTGATTTTGATTGTGGAAAGTAATAAAACACATTTTGACAATGTGACCTGTGATGAACAACATAAAATAAAATATGAGAACTTTTAAAATATAAAATGAAAAATGAGGATTTACCACTGTTTTTAAGAAGACAGCAAGAACAAGGGTTTATGTTAATTTACTTTGGTAAATTTTAGAGAACCTGTTTAGCCTCGAATGGAGTTTAACCTGCCTGTTTTTAGTGCATATACATGTGTGTGCATATATATCAGATTGTGTATTACTCACTTTAATCACCAAATTAAGAACAATTTTGTAAACTGTCCACCAGGATCATATGTTCATTGAATTATAGACTTGCTTTAATCATAACTCATAAAATACAAATGTAGCAATAGCTATTTTATGACCACCAGTTCAAAATGATAAGCTAAGACATTCTCAAGGTGTTCCCTATGAATCAAGACCACAGCCAAGATGTTTTCCCTAGGGGCAAGAGCCCATTATTTTAAGGACTACCAAAATTTGAATCGACCAAATTTGAACTTCTTCAAATTGGTATTCCATAAAATCTTTGTTAGATGCTAAAATACTATTTGTGTACAGTATTCACTTAATGAAATATTTTATAGATAAGTAATAAACATTAAAAACATAACACTTGATCCAAATGTTTCTTTGCTACAAATTTCTTTCCCTAATTAATTATTTTTAAACTGATTAAAAATAATACATCATTTTAAGATGATATTAATTTCAGTCATAAGAGCATTCAATTTGCTACAAATTTTTATGACGTTTTTCATTAAGATGCATCAAAATATAAATTAAAAAGAAAAAAAATTAACAGATATTTAAACCTCATGGTTACAATGTAACACCACTCACAAACTGAACTAAGCTAAAAGTGGTTGCTACTGTAGCTAGCTATAAAAAGCATAAGACATTTATTTAGTGAACATAGCCATATAAAGTTAGAGTCATATGTAATTTATGTGTGTGTTGAGGGAGAGGGATACATCTATGTATTCAGTGTGGGTGATCAAAAAGTTGAAGCTAAATACACTGTACAATGTAGGAGTCACAAAAAGTTGGACATGTTTATGTACATTCATCAAAGTTACTAAATACAGCTGAATCTGTGTATTCAGTGGGGGTTTCAACATAAAGTTGGGGCAAAATGTATCTACTTCAGATAAAGTCAAATATAGCCACTTAAAAGTCTCAAAATACAGCAGAAAATATTTATTGTTTAAACATATTTAGCAAGACTTTACATAATATTGTTTTTGTCAAACAAATATCATGAAATTGTTATTAAAAAAATTATAGCATCTTACTTTATCACATACTCTTTCTCAACAGTGGGGATACATAAGACCAGTAACCTCATGTTCAAAATGAATCCTTACCTAACAGGTGAAGTTTAGCTAAAGGGGATTTAATATCTAGAATCTTTACAATTTTCAGAATGATTTCTTGGTAAAAAGTCAAGTTCTTCTCAAAAAATGATGAAGGTACCCCCATATCTTTTGGACAGTACTCCTTCTGCTGTGAGATTGATCGAGCAATACGTTGTTCTGCCTCACTATATGCCAATCTAAAACACCATCAAAAAACAAATATATTATCAAATAGCAAAGAGTTCAGAACACCACCAAGATTTGAACATACAAGCCACAGATGAGTTAAGTTGCATCTAAATATTACTCTAAGCACGTAAAGTTATCTCATATAAAACAGGAATATTTTAAAAATTATAACCATCCTGAAAACCTTTAAAAATAAATGCATTACAGCACAGATAACAACCAATAAACACACTTTTATCTCACTGTTTATTTAAAATTATTTAACAAATTTTCCCTAATAATAATGCTTCTAGTGCCAAGTAAAAAACAAAATAACTATAAATGATAACTTGAATGAGTTTTAAATAATCAGAAAAAAAAAGTCCACAACATTATTAAATTTTAAGGAAATTTAGCAATTTAGGGATATCATTATTACTTATAACAAATAAAAAAATATCAATATAACAAAAAAATAGATAAATTAATAACATAAAACTATTGATAGTATTAATAACCTTTAATTACAATGAATACTTTCGAAATAGTTGCTCAAAGAAGTCAAGAAATAGCTAAATTCAAACTTATGAAAACACTTTAAACTGTATTAATAAAATATATAAATCATGAAAGATATAATTTCACTGGTAAAATTCCTACTCTTAGAATATATATATTGAGCATCCCACTTGCATCAATATCTACTAGAAAAAAAAAAAGTGCACTAAAATTCACAATACAAATTTAGGGATGCTGGGTTACTACAACCCATTTGTAGATTAATTACTTGTAAAAATGCTTTAGCTAGTGGTTTCATTAAAATAATTATATAAGACTACTAGAGCTACTGACAGAATATAAATTACTGGTATAAAAATGACAACCTAAGCTACTAGAGCCATATGAATTTCTCGTACAAGACTACCAGACTACTGATACAATCTAAATTTCTGGTATAAGAATGACAACCTAAGCTACTAGAGCCATATGAATTTCTCGTACAAGACTACCAGACTACTGATACAATCTAAATTTCTGGTATAAGAATGACAACCTAAGCTACTAGAGCCATATGAATTTCTTGTACAAGACTACAAGAACTACTGATACAATCTAAATTTCTGGTATAAGAATGACAACCTAAGCTACTAGAGCCATATGAATTTCTCGTACAAGACTACAAGAACTACTGATACAATCTAAATTTCTGGTATAAGAATGACTACTTAAGCTATTACAACCATATGAATTACTAATATAAGAATGACTACTTAGGATACTAAAACCATGTGGATTATAAGTATAAGACTACCAGAGCTTCTGATGCAATCTAAATTATTATAAAAGTAATTTAACAAATTTTGAAAAAATAAGGATGATATAGAGATGGAAATGCCAAAAAGTACAGAAACAAGGTAAGGATGAATACACAAAACCATACAAGTATCCCTAAATAAGTAGCCAAATATTTCCAAGAAAAACTTTTATATAGAACTAAATGCTGAATTCCTTTCATTTGCATGAATTCAGGTTTAAATAAAAGCATGTAAACTGAATCTATATAAATATAATAGTAGTGTCTGTTTTATGTCCATGTAACTACTTTGCAAATTAAACAACCAAAGCTACTTATACAATATGTATTGCTTGGACCCGTATTTATATACAACTAAATGTTGAATTCCTTTCATTTGCATTAATTCAGGTTTGAATAAAATCATTTAAACTGAATCTATATAGATATAATAGTACTGTCTGTTTCATGTCCATGTAACTACTTTGCAAATTAAACAACCAAAGCTACTTATACAATATGTACTGCTTGTTCCTGTACAGGAGTACCAGAATAACTAACACCATCTATATTACTTGTGTAAAACTTATTCAGCCATTGTTAACACCTGAATTACATGTATAAAACTACCGGAGCAATTAGTTCTATCTGAATTTCTTGTACTGAGTTAACTACTAGGTGAAAATCCCAGGGATTGTATTAATAGGCACTGCCCTCTCTGTATGGAGGCTGATTGCTTTGCAGGAGGAAGAAAAAAATTCCTTTACTGATGTTATCAGTGGCCTTCTGGCTGTATGTATACTATTCTGTTGATTCCCCATAGTTTGTTTTTCCTAGCTATGCCATATGATACTTTTTTGACAGCGGTCTCATTTCATCTGAATGTCAATGAAGACCTTCTATGATTGCCACTTTTGCCTTATCAGTGCAGGGGAGGTTAATACCTTGCCAACAGACTTGTTCAGGATTTGAAAAAGGGGCTTGTCTTGTGAACTTCTCATTTAGCTTTACTCCTGCATGACGTGGCTCATATATTCAGGTAATAGTCTAGTTATGTAGTAACTTTACTTTCTGCCATCTACCTATTATATTCGTGGCACTGTCTATTTGTGGTTTATTGTTTTCAGCAATCCAGAGATGAGAGTACTTTATGGCTTGGATCTCTCTTTGTGCTGCTTGTGGGAGGCCTGAATGCTCTGCCTTATGCAGAATGTTGTTGCTCTGTGAAACTATTAATGCCCAAACATCCCTCTCAATATCTGGGGTGTAGGAACTACCTGGGGCTATAATGACAAGGTGATTATCCACTCTCTGTCCAATATCTTCATTTTCTGTTGAGACTGATTTCCAGATATCCCAATGGTGTTAGATATTTATTTCACGTGAAGCATCTGAGAACTTCGGTAACAGATTATCTCAGTGGTGTCTGTATATCACATGTTCACCCATTACTTTATCCTGGGGGTGCCTTTTAGGCAATCTTCTTTGGTTGGTGTCATGGGGTTATTGTGGATCTGGAATGTCTCAAATGAAAAGGACAGTGACTTGATGACAGAATGCATGGTTTGTACACTGCAAGGCCCTAGGCTTGTGAAGTGTAATAGGGCTTTGGTGAGGATGATGGAAGTACATCATGCGACCAGTCTTTAAACAAAGGTTTTGTATCTTCTCAATCGCACCTAGTTGCATAGCAATCGTACTGATCATTGGTAATGCATATTCCACGATGGAGAAGCTAAGAATGTGGTGACATTCTTCAGCTCTGTTTTCTACTGCAACTTTCAGTGTATTGGTGCATTTAGTAGCTCTGGCCATTATAACGTTAATGTGGCTGGCGAAGTTGTCTCTCAAAAGTTACCTCCAGATACTTCAGTATTTGTTCTCATCAGCATTTCTATTGTGAGTGTGCACAGCATAGTTGATGACATTCTGTTGTGCAGAAGAGGCTCTAGCAAAGCTCAAATCAAAAGCAAGATGCAATAATTCCTTAGCAGGTTGAATAAATAGTGCAATGATACAGAAAAATCTTCAATGACTACCAGATCTACTTTTGTAATTACTTGTATAAAACTACTAGAACTGCTGATTCTAACTACATTACACGTATAAGACTTCCTGAGTTACTGATGCCACCGGAATTTCAGAGAGTTAATTGTATTTCATAAGAAGTATCCATATATGCTGAACTACTGATGTGAAGATATTGATGTAATGTAACGTGAGTTAAGATACCAAACAATGTAATAATTAGTATCATTTCAACTACTTGTAAATGGTTAACAAAACTAATGGTGCTATTTAGCCAAATCATCCTAATAAGTAGTATCACTTAAACTAATAACATATGGTTACAACAACTATTGATGCTGTTTAGAAAAACTGATGTAACACTAAATGGTGGTTCACTAGTATCAGATGGATGTGATTAGTATTCACATCTAATTTATTTAAGGTGCAAAACAAATAGGATTATTGATGCCACCTCATTCAATGGTATAAGGTTATATTGGCCATTACCATAAATGGTTGTAGGATGTGGTCTCTATAATGTGTGGCATTAATGGTACTATTTCATAGGATGTAAAAGTTGATATATCCACTAGTGCTTATTTCTGCTGTCATACTTTCACCACCACCACATGGATTAAGTTCCTGAATTAAAATTGGGTTGAATTTGGTCATAGGTTCTCTTCCAATATGTTTATACCTGTTATCTAAAAACATGGTGAAGAGTAACTCATCTGTTAAAAAAAAAAGAAGCTCCAAATATCATTGGTCCATTGGGCATGTTTTTGACACTGCTGCAGGCAAGATATATTGTGTCTTATTGTTAATAGAATGAACATAACTGGCCATTTGTCATACAAACAACCTTTACAAATTCTGTTTCTAATCACAAGTAAACTAATACAGCACCATCTGTGGCAGCACATATCTTACAGTAGGAACTTTAAGATTATGGTGAGTAAAAAATGACAGATAGTGTTAACCTATTTGGGTTGTGGAAGACAGTCTGTCATATCTAGTTAACTCTTTCCACACAGGCTCAGTCGATGAGACCAACCTTTTAAGCCTAAAATAAACATCAGAGTTTCCATAATATAACTTTTATGTTTTGTGAATCTTCACAAAATTTGGCAAGCTTTCACTAAACACTGCAAGCCTTTATTGTACACAAAAAATTAGATTTTCTAATTAAGTATTTTTACTAAAGATTTGTCTGTGAACATATGGAGTCAGAATGTTGACTGCTCAAAGTGATTTTCATGTTAAGATTAAAAATACTTTTCTTCATCTGAAAATTTTAAAATTTCATTTGAATAACCTCTAAAATCTCCCGAGTAAATATCAAACGTTTTTTTGTCTTACAGTAAAACTTTATATTTTGTTATTTTCTCTACCCTAACTCAATACAGACTTGGTCAATTTGATTGGTTTTGTAACCACTATAAAAAACAGGAAATAAATCTAAATTACCCTCTTTCTAGAATGACTGCAGATTATAATAGAAAACTACAAATTAAGCTTGTACCAGCTTACATCTGTTTATACTTAATTCCATTGTTTTATTAGCCTCTGAACTGTGTCTAACTACTAATTCTGCTATACAAGTTGTAAATCATTCAGTGAACATGTAGCTCATGTTACCGTATTGATTAATGTAACATATGAGCTAACTGCAAGCATACTTCATGAATAATTTTTATTATTATTTTTCATTCTCTTACCTAATCT